GACTGGTGGACTTCAACTCCCAGAATTCCTCAGCCAGGCGTGCCTGGCTGAGGAATTCTGGGAGTTGAAATCCACCAGTCGTAAAAGGGCCACGTTTGAAGACCCCTGATGTGGATGATTGAGAATATCCATAGACATATCCAACACACCTTCCTCCACCTATTTTCCCCACAGCAAGTGAGGTAGGTTGGGCTGAGAGAGAGACAGCAACTGCTCCAAAGTCACCCATCAAATTTAGCTCAACACTCTAAGCCAACTGACTTGAGTTGCATTGGAACGGTTGTGACATATTTTGAAGGCAGGACACCCTGGGAGATTTTAATGGAACCCGGCACCTTCGCAGCCTGAAACATCTTGAGATGTTAACTCACCATTTGCCCTTCACAGTAAGTGACCCGGCCTGTTGCCCCCGGTGGCTTGAGAGGCTTCCCTCCAGCAAAGCAGTGATGCCTTAAACGCCGAAGCAAACTAGCAGAAGAGTTTAATCTTCGGGTGCTCACGAAATATGGGGGGGAAAGAGCGCGATCTTGAGGGAACTCAACGGCCAAGAGGTCTCCTGAAGCTCGGAAGGAACAAAGCTGAACTCTGCAAGATGTCTGTCTGTCTTCACAGGAGCAAGCCAGAGGCACAACCTCAAATTCTGGCACTGGAAAAACGAGAATAGAGATACCGGTATGTTGGGCCCGAACAGAACCAAACTTGGGTTTATTATATATTTTGGAGGACAGTTCAAGAACTTTTCTGTATGGGCTCTCAAATTGTCTCCAAACATTGCTGCAAAATAGTTTTTAGTATATGACAGAAGAGGGGAATTATTAAATAAATAAGGAGTCGCCCCAAAAGTGTTTTTCTTGGGGTTTTTTTCCTTGAAAACACTTTGCTTCTCATCCAAGAAGCTTCTTCCGTTCTTTATTGTGTTCTGTTCCATTCCATTCCATTATTCTATTCTGTTTCTATTCTATTCCATTCCATTCCACAATCTCTTCTTTTCTGTTCTACAATCTGTTCTATTCTATTATATTCTATTATATTCTATCATTATTCTATTCTATTCTATTCTATTCTATTCTATTCTATTCTATTCTATACTGTTCTGTTCTGTTCTACTCTACTCTACTCTACTCTACTCTACTCTTTATTCTACTATTCTGTTCTGTTCTATTCTGTTCTAAATATGGAACACAACTGGGCTAGATCATACACTTGCCTCGTTACATCTCAACCCTAATTAAAATCAGGACAACAATAATTAAAATCGGTGCCACGCCTGGTGTCTTCTTACCTTCAAGGCTTGAATTGGTCCCGAAATAAAAGTAAACGTCCCTGGCTTCCAAACTATTCAGAAAAGTCTACAAGGAGAAGGGGTGTGTGTGTGAAAGAAAGTAAAAAACCTCACAGATCAAGATCAAAAACATCCCGAGCACAGATCAAAAGATCACAGATCAAAGGACCACAGATGAAAGAAGTCAGAGCTCCACGCATCAAAACAGAAAGACAGCTGGAAAAAAAAGTTTGCAGATGTTGGATCCAAGACGGGATGTGGAAAATGAATGTGGGCTGTGATGAAATTAAAGAACTCCCCCCCCACCCTTGTGTCATTTGCGGATTGCACATTCTCAGTGCCCAGCAGGACATTTTGCAGATCAACACACAAAGCCAACAATTAGTTAGCAGCCGTCTCTCCTGCCCCCAAATCCTTATTCGGCTAGAGGTCAAACTTACCTTGTGTGTTTCGGAGGGCCAGCAAACCTTCAGAGACAAGAATGTGAAAAACAACTTCAAAAGACTCTTAGCCATGATTCAGGAGCTGAAGCCACCTTACTGAGCAACCAAGGAACAAATGCTGGTTTCTTTCGGGTTCTGCAAACAGGCAGCTGTGGAGCAGACGGGATAAAGGGCCCCACATTTAAATAAATGGGACAAGTAATCAGGGGACTCTGTTTTTGCTAAAGGCGCCAATGGGCAGAGGGCGGGCTTGTGCAATATTTGCAGACCAGCCACAACCAAATAATTGAGATGGAAATGAGTTTAAAAGGGGGGGGGGAGTTTAAAAGCTGTAGAACAGAAAGGATGGAAGAGAGAGAGCGAAAAAAAACTGTGTGAGGTTGTTTCCCATGTTTATTTTTTCCAGTAGCAGGCTATTATCTCTAGGAAACATGGAGAAGGCTGAGTTAATAATCATTTAACGGACCCTGTGACTTTAGCTAGCAACAGCTCAAAATTTATTTATTTTTTTACAACAACCTTTCCTTAGTGTATAATCCTGGAAACACACCTACTGTTGGAGCAAAGCCATGAATGTCCAATGCATAAAAAAGTGGAGCTGTCGATTCTAATATTTCCTGTCCTGTTGAGGAAAATGGATGATACAAATGACAAATGTAAGAAAACTGAAAACTTGGATCAGCCTGTCTCATATCTTTGGGGAAACAGCCTTGGCGGGAAAGCAAGTACTTCTGTTTTAGCATTATCTCTAAATTTAGTGGCATAAGGACAAGACAAGGAAAGTGCCAAATCATAAGTCAACATTAAAATCACTTTTCCATTGAGCTCAGCTCCTGATCACTTCATGACCAATCACGTTGGGTTTTTTGGACAAAGTGATGTTAATGAATGGCGATTGCCTTATTCTAAGATATATTTTTTTTCAACTTCTCCAGCTAGCCTGGGATTTTCTGGTGCTTTCCTGTCCAACGATTAACTTTTTAAAAAGCAGCCGAGATTAGCTACAATCTGTCTTTTAGCTGGGCCACCAATAACTAGTCACCAGTAGTTCCAACATTGTAGGGTGCTTGGAGCTCTCTGAGCTTGGTGGTTTTCTTGCAGACATTTCATTACCAAACTAGATAACATCATCAGTGCAGTACAATGAAATATCTGCAAGAAATCCACCAAGCACAGAGAGCACTCCAAAGTTCAACCCTGAGCTACCGCATTCTCTTCTAGAAGTAATTCCAACATCGTCTGCTTATATGTCGCCAAGCCAAGCTTTTGACCTTCTACCCGATCCCTTGATTAGCTGCTGTATTTGCTGGACTAGAAGACCTCCAAGGTCCCTTCCAGCTGTATTCTATTCTATTCTATTCTATTCTATTCTATTCTATTCTATTCCCTATTCTATTCTATTCTATTCTATTCTATTCCATTCTTCTATTCTATTCTATTCTATTCTATTCTATTCTATTCTATTCTATTCTATTCTATTCTATTCCTTAATTCTATTCTATTCTATTCTATCCCATATTCTGTTTTCTATTCTATTCTATTCCCTATTCTATTCTATTCTATTCTATATCCTATCCTATTCTATTCCCTATTCTATTCTATTCTATTCTATATCCTATCCTATCCTGTCCTATTCTATTCTTGATTCTATTCTATTCTTTATCCTGTCCTGTCCTGTCCTGTCCTGTCTATTCTATTCTATTCTATTCTATTCTATTCTATTCTATTCTATTCTATATCCTGTCCTATTCTATTCTGTCCTTTTCTTTCTAGATCAACGCTTCTCAACCTTGGCCCCTTTAAGATAGGAAGTGTCCAATTCCTAGAATTCCCCAGCCAGAATTTCCCTCATGTTGAAGTCGCCAAGATTGTGAAAACTCTTATTTAGAGGATGCTGCCTGCCGGTAGGAACGAAAGTGACCCGGCTCGTGTTTCCCACCGGCGCCCTCTGGGGGAAAGGACCCACTTCCGGTTTCGGTTTGCCAGCGCTGCTGCAGCCACGCGGATTTGCTGCAGGGACGGCGGGGAAAGTCGGAGCATCATCACGTCTGCTCAGGAAGTCGTTTATGGAGCTTGGGAGCCCCGAAAGGCCAGGTGAGCGGTTGAAAAAAGAAGAAATAAACTTTCTTTAACTCACTCTTAGCCACGTCTGGGCAAGTTCTAGCAGTTGCTAGAATTTGTATCTGTTTTCTGGTCACTAAAGCAAAGGTACCTTGGGGTGTGTGTTTTTTTAAAACTATTTTAGTTGGTTCTCTTTCTCCTGTTTGTATGATAAAACATGAGTCTCTCTGTCTTCAGTTCTAGTGCTTGTGGTCAAAGCTGAATGACTGTCTCGTATCAAAGATGACCAAAATGAAAAAGAAGGACTCTCCATCCCAAACAGATAACTCTACAACTAAACCAGACAACCTTAAGAATCAGAGAAAGAAGAAGAAGAAGAAAAATATATTTTGGAAAAAGATCAACCAAGTAGAGAAGAGAGCGAGCAAAGAAACGAAAGCAGTAGTAGAATTGCCTCCAAAAACGTCCCAGGAAGTTTCATCAAACTGGAAAGCCCTACAAGAGGTATATTTGGACAATGACTTTTTCTGGAGAGCTGATTTTTTGGGGTGGGGGAATTCCTTTTTGAGCGAACAGAATGCCAGGTGCTGGGTGTGACAATCATGTTAATCTTTGATTAATCATATAAAAGGAGGGGAAACCTGAGATAGGCTTTGTTCACCAACTTGGCAAACAAAAGCTGGACATCCTACAATCCTATTGCTAACATTTCAGCCCAGACCAAGTCAAATTAATCATGGAATTTGTACCCAAAGGCTCACAAACGAAAGACGAGATTTAAAAAGCGTGCTGCTTGGATTTCAAAGAAATATACATGTTTGGGAGGTGTTATGGTGACAAAATTAAAATCCTCTTCAATCAAAGTTGATCGGAATCTCCAGCAGCTGGTTATCTTAAATTTGATGAGCCAAGGCTGGGGGGGGGGGAAAAATCACGTTAAGCTAGTTTTGGTTCAGGAAGCTAGGTAAATCCAAGCAGTTGTGGTTTTGATGCAACAAATGTGGAAATCTGGTTTAGCAATCCAACCTGAAAACTGAACACATACATTTGTGTGTCTTTTTTTTTTTAGCTTCTGCAACAAAAGGCCAGCTGTTTGAATTCTGCCGTTACTGCACCCAACACATATTCCAAGAAAAAGGACGTGAAAACTGTTCCTTGCGTATCGGGACCAAATGGGATTGGAAAGAAGCTGACGTCAAAGGTTCAGGTTCCAAGTTTGAGTCCCGCAGGTGTCACGAGATCTAAAAAGTCCACTCAAGTGAAGAAACCACCACAGGTTCAAGAGGCTGCCAAAGAGCAGAGAAATGTCCAGGTGGACAACGGAGAGAAGAAGCAAGGAGATATTAAACATAAACGAAGGAAACAGGATGATCCAGTGGCGGCAGCATCTATAGAGTAAGACTCGTGGGCTTTGGACAATACTCTTCCATACAGATTAGGTAAAGTAGCTGGGGTCTAACCCCAAGCATTTAGTCCTCGGCTTACGACCACAATTGAGCCCAAAATTTCTGTTGCTAAGCGAGACAGTTCAATTGCGACCGTAAGTCGAGGATTGCCTGAGTTTGTTTCCTCAGCTCCCGTTTAGGTAGGCTTTACATTTTTCTCACAAGGGCCCCCTGGCTAAATTTTGGAAAGCTACCTCTTGTTGAGTCAAGATCAGTCAATCAGAATAGAGCTGGAAGGGACCTTGGAGGTCTTCTAGTCCAGCCCCCTGCTCAAGCAGGAGTCCCTATATCATTTCAGACAAGTGGCAGTCCAGTGTCTTCTTAAAAACCTCCAGTGATGGAGCTCCCACAACATCTGGTGGCAAGCTGTTCCACCGGTTAATCGTCCTCACTGTTAGGAAGTTTCTCCTTGATTCCAGGTTGCTTCTCTTCTGGATTGGTTTCCATCCGTTGTTTCTTGTCTTGCCTTCTGGGTGCTTTGGAAAATAAGCTGACACACACCCCCCCTCCTCCTTGTGGCAGCCCCTCAAATACTGGAATACACCTAATTCCAGATGATCTGGAATTAGGTGAGGATTCTGGACATCGGGTTATTTCACAGTGGGTAACTTGAAGCCGACCCTCCTTAGTCCTCCTTTCTGGCTCCCATTTGGCTTTCTAGCATCTGGTTTGATGACGTGGATCCAGATGATATCGAAGCAGCCTTGGGACCGGAAGCTGCCAAAGTAGCCCGGGAGAATCTGGGCATCAAAGAGGAGAGAATCCAGCAGACAATGGAACCTGAGCTGGTGAAAGAACATGCTTTTGAAGGGTGATTATGCTTCTGTGGATTCAGAGGGTTGAACGCTTATATACGGCCCAAAATTTCTCTTTGTTAAGTGAGGCTCCCCCCTCCTGTGGTTTTGGAAAGCCTTAAGACCTGGCTATGTTCGAAGGCATGAGATGTGTGGACCCGTGTTACGTTTTTCAGTCTGGCCTATCCTGTCTTTAACCCGCTTTAATTGTCATAAGCCACCCCAAATCTTTTTAAAGTGGGAGGAGGCCTCGCGACATTTAAACAATAACCATTTTGCAATTGACACACTTCGACATTGACAAAAAACCCGTCAGTCAACTGCAAAAGACAGCTTGACTTGGAACAGCTTCCATCCTGACACATGACCTTTAACCCCCCCCCCCCCAACAAACCCAACTGCCTATCCCAGGCCCTTGGGAGGGTCTGAACATCTGCCGTGCAACTAACCCTAATAATAACGGCAGCAGCAATAATGGAAAGTTAGCAGATGTCTCTTTTTCTATGTTCAAACTCTTTTCTTGGCAGGCTAACCAAAGCAGTGGCCATCGACTGTGAGATGGTGGGCGTGGGGCCCACCGGTGAAGACAGCATCCTGGCCCGTGTCTCGGTTGTGAATTTATTTGGCAAATGTATCTATGACAAGTATGTCAAGGCTACGGAAAAAGTCACAGACTACAGAACCGCCGTTAGTGGGATTCGGCCTGAGCACTTAAAAACAGGTAACAAAGCCGGGCTGATGTTGGTTTGAATTTTATGTCTGGGTTGTTGTAGCCTGCCAAATCAAACTGAAGTTCACCAGGCATCTGATGATTGGGTTGTCACGTTGCCTTGAGCCATTATTTCTTTAATCATGGTTTGTGGAGTAAGGCCTGGGAGGTTAGGTCCTTGCATCCTGCTCAGTGAAAATATATATCTACTTTTTTTTATGGCTGAGGATATTATACCCTGTACAGTAATAAATTCGCTAAATTAAAAAAAACAAAATCTTTTTTCTGCAATGTTGTGTTTTCTTGGAATTTTAGGGGAAGATTTCAGAACCGTCCAGAAAGACATAGCTGACATCCTAAGGGGTAGGATTTTAGTTGGACACGCTCTTCACAATGACTTAAAGGTACTAAGGACTGTAGTATAGCCTTTTCATGCCTTTGTTTCAGAATGTTATTTCCACAGTGTAGCTGGTTTTTCTGATTTATCTTTTCTTCCTCGCTTGCGGGAAGAAATATGCCTGAATATGTATAATTTATTCATTACAATAAATCATAACTTCTCTCTCTGTGTGTGTAAACAATTATTAAACTAAAAGTAGGTGCCTTGTGTTTTAGTATCCATAGATTTTATCTGGCCAAGGCACTTGTTCAGCCCCATTCCCCTTCTGGGCCTTTTAAGTCCCCCAAATTAAGAAATACTTATTTCCAAATGTGGGGCTTTCAACTCCCGTCACTCTTCTGGGGCTGAGATTTAAATAAGCTACTTCTCACCTAGGGCCAGAGGGGACCTCAGAGGTCTTCTAGTCCACTAACCACATTTTGGGGGCCCTGAGTAATCGTTCCGATGGGTCTTTATTATCATCATTATTATTATTTTTCCAGATTCTACTTCTTGATCATCCCAAAAAGAAAATCCGGGACACACAAAGATACAAACCTTTCAAAAAGCAGGTCAAGGTGAGAAAGAGATCCTTTTTGGATTTCAAGAGAACCGATTCTACACATTTACAAGCTGTTTCTCATTCGGGACCAGCCATTTTAAGCGTTTCCGTTTTGCGCAAAAGTCTTGCGTAAGTTTTTATTTTCCTCATTGTCTTCCCTGTGGCTGCTCTAAACCTGTCCGTCTTGCTAAACAGAGGCTAAGACTGTATCAGCCCAGAGAATTCAAGCCACGTTCTTCCCTCTTAATCCAGAGGTCCCCAATCTTTGGGGCACCAGGGACCGGTTCCGTGGAGAGAGGTTTTTCCGCGGACTGGAGGGTGCGTGGTTTTGTGTGCTGCCTGCATCTCACGGATGGGGCTTTGCTTGTTTGTGCGGACCGGTTGCTGGCAAGCCACGGGCCAGGGGTTGGGGACCCCTGATCTAATCAATGCTTCTCTGTTTCCTTAGAGCCTAAGACCCTCCCTCAAACTGCTGTGCGATAAACTGCTCAACGTCAAGGTGCAGACCTCAGAACACAGTTCGGTAAGTGATTAGAATCCAGATCCCTGGGAGGCTAACCCAGGAGGATGGGGAGCAGTACTCTGCTCCATTGAGACTAAGGGGGGGGGGGGTCTGGCTTCCACAGAGGTTTTTAGAAACAGACAGATTTATATCTCAGCCCTGCCCATCTTCGGACCGGCTCAGAAGCGGCAAATCCTGCCTTTCACTCAACTGCTTCTCTCTCCCAGGTTCAAGACGCTCAAGCTGCGATGCGACTTTACACTTTGGTGAAAAAAGAGTGGGAAGCGTCCTTGAAAGGAATCCCCAAGGCCCAGAAAGACTAAATCCGGACCGTTTCACGTCCGGCTGTGTTCGCTGCAGCACTGGCCGATCGGAAAAACTTTTGCTTGATCAGTCCTGCAGCTGCTCTTCGCCCTTAACTTGGCTTTGGCCATTAATCGGGGGTTTTTACTTCAACGGAAGACACGTTTTAAGTTTAACTGAAATGGCAGCCATCTTTTCTCCTTACCTCTTCTGCGTTAGGCAGATGGTTTTGAAATTGTGTTTGAGGTTCCAAAATTAGCGGTAATACAGCAGAGAAAAGCAGATTCTGTCTCTCTCTGTGTGCCATTTTGGCTTCTCTGCTTAAATCTGTATGTACACACCCTTCTCCAGCCACCAGGTAGGTCAAAAAAGTTTTAAAACAAGATTCATCCTTTTTCCTTTGCTGCAGTCCATGATAGGATCTGATCCTTGCAATCGTCTGTTGAAAAAAAAAAAAACACGGCTTGACCGCGCCTCGTTTTCCTATTTATTGTACAACCTTTAATGTGTTCGGCAAAATATAAGCTCATTCACGTTTTGCAAATAAATAATCGAAGTTCCGTAAAAGGGAGCAAAGCTTTTGCCCTCCTGTTCATTTTGAAATAATTGATAGAGCAAGAAAACAAAAATAAAAGAAAAGTCATCTATTGGGGCTCGTGCCTTGTTAGAAGCCCTGTGAAGTAAAAAAATTGAGAAAAAAGTTATATTTTATTAAAAAGGGCATAGCTTTAAAAGATTTGGACTTTCTTTTAGGAAATAAAAGCTTTGTTTATCTAGATAAATCCATTTAAATTTTAAAAACAATTCAGTTCACCTTTCTTCTGCAGTTTGGAGAGTGCCTTTTCTGACAGGGCCACAATTTCCTAGAGGTAAATACATACAACATTTGGGGCATCAGAAAGTGCAATTTCCGGTGTCATCTTGCTTACCCATCTTCTGAGTTCCCTTTCGGACCGGATTAAAATAAATCTTGTTTGCCACAAAAAGTATCCCCTTAATATTCCTTCCTCCTTACCAAACTAGAAGTAAATCTGCTCTTCATTTCTATCAGCATGTCGGTAACGCTGTGGGAGACCATCTCCACCACAATTTCGTCTTGTGATTTAAAAGAAATTAAAAAGGATTTGGCGTAAGTGGAATCATTTTTGTGCGGTTTTCCTTGGCTGGGCAAGACGGGATTCTGCACAAACGTCGTTACTGTATTTAAACATCTCGTCGATCAGGACACAAATGTTTTCCACCACTTCGGGATCTTCCCTGTGGACCTGGTAGCAATCCTTTAGCAGGATGATCCCGTTACCCTTCTGGTCTGTCACTATGAATCGGAAACCGGATAACTCTGAAAAAAGAGGGAGATTTTATTAAATCCCCGGCTGATTTTCCCAGCAGACTATGCTAACTTTCACTCCGTTCACTCAGAGCACATTATGGTATCCTAAATATGCGATTTTCCTGCCTCTAAACCTCCAGCAAATCTTGTATAAGCAAGAAAGGACAACAGTCTAGGCTGGCTACATAGAGCTGGTATCTCTGCGTGTGGAAGTAATCCTGTGATTGCCGTTTTGTATGAGTTCGAATAAAAACTGCCCTGTGGAGGGAGAGTCTAATCCTACCAGTGTTTCCTCCCAGCTCCCTTTCTGAATCCGATCTGGCTTGGCCTCTTAATATTCTTGAGTTATTACCGTTGGCAATCCGTTCCTCCCAGGTTTTTTTTCCCCCAGGGCAGAAGGATTCTGGCTGGACTTACAGGCAACCCTCAATTTAAAACCATTTCGTCACTGGAGTTACCACCGCACCGAAAAAAATTGGCTTAGGACCATTTTTCAGACTTAATCATAACAATAATAAAGTTGGAAGGGACCTTGGAGGTCTTCTAGTCCAACCCCCTGCTCAGGCAGGAAACCCTATACCATTTCAGACAAATGGCTGTCCAGTCTCTTCTTAAAAACTTCCAGTGTTGGAGCATTCACCGCTTCTGGAGGCAGGTTGTTCCACTGGTTAATTGTTCTAACTGTCAGGGAGTTTCTCCTTCGTTCTAGGTCGCTTCTCTCCTTGATCAGTTTCCATCCGTTGCTTCACAGCCATTGTGCCAATGACTTCACAGCCGTTGTGGCCTCCCCACGGCCACGTGATCAAAATTCAGATGCTTGGCAACTGGCATGTACTTAGGACTGTTGCAGAGTCCCAGGGTCACGGGACCCCCCTTTTGTGACCTTCCGACATGCAAAGTCGATGGGGAAGTTAATCGTGTGGCTAAGGGTGGCAGGGAAGCTCGTAAAATGGGGCAAAACTCAACTCTCTCACTAAGCAACGGGAATTTGGGGCTCATTTTTTTTGTGGTCGTAAGTCGGGGACTGTGTTCCATCTACCAAGCGATGGAGTTCAAGGCCTGGCTTGGAAACCCGTACCGGATGTCCTCAGAAGGCTGGCCAGGGCAAGGCAAGCATTTTTCACCAACACAGCGCTGTCCGGATGCTGCCTCATTGCTTCCAGCAGAAGCAGGGAATACGGTTCATATTTGACTTCATCTATGCATCCTGCAAGGGAAACCGGAAAACATCCCACGAAATTACGATGACGATTATTATATTTCCAAAAAGGTGGTGCAAAGGAAACGGAAAGCAAAAAAATTTTTTTAAATGAACCGGCCTAGTAGAACTCAGTATGTGGTTTCTTCAACGTCAGACAAGCAATCCTCAAGTTAACGACTGTTTGTTCAAAGTTACGATGGCCGTGGGAAAAACGACTTGTGAACTCTACGCGTACCTTACAGCTGTGGCACACACACACACACACACACCACGGTCACAGGATTGCAGTTGGGACGCTGGGCAAGCCCTGGTTTCGTACTTACGACTCGTTGGGACACGCAATCGTAATTTGTGGGGTTTTTTTGAAAAAAGAAAAAAAAAAACGCCCCCCTGGGAGAAACTGTATTGTTTCTGCCCAATTTTGTCAAAAAATGTCCGCTGGAGGAAGCTGTATTCACTTGACTTGCTTAAGAACCCCCATGAAATTGTCCTAAAACGGAGTCTGTCTTGACTTACGAGCACAACAACTTACAGGAGAAGTTCCATCCCTGATTATGTGATTGAGTGCCCATCTTCCTCCTGGCTCAGGAGACTCACCGTGAAGAGAAAGGGCCCAAAAAGCGCTGACGGCCATTTCTGCGACTTCCACGTGGGGGAGATGCAAGTGGAGGATGACGGAGACCAGCTCAGTGGCGTATTTCAGTGGGCTCTCGGCCACGTCGGCCACTGAATTGACAAAAAAAGGGCCACAACAGTCATCACGAAGTGCAGTATACTTGGTCCTCAGCCGAGCCCAAAATAACTTCAGATAACAGAATAATAGAAGGGACCTTGGAGGTCTTCTAATCCACCCCACCCCTGCTCAGGCAAGAAGCCTTATACCATTTCAGACAAATGGTTGTCCAACATCTATTTGTGTTGTGGCTTAGCCCTTGCAGCTGGCACCCCACACTAAATGAGGGAGATGCTAGACCATTCCAGACAAATGGCCGTCCAGTCTCTTCTTGAAATCCTCCAGTGTTGGAGCACCCACAACTTCCGGAGGCAAGCCGTTCCACTGATGAATTGTCGTCACTGTCAGGAAATGTCTCCTTCGTTCTAGGTCGCTAAGCAAGTGGCTGTAAATTGAGGACTACCTGTACTACACCTTATGCTCGATTAACCTGGCTGCTTTCATCAACCCATCCACTGCCTGTCTTCCTCCTAAATCGGCGCAATAGGTTTTTCTCCACCCCAAATGGCTTACAAACATCTGGAAGAGCTAGGGACGCCTGTCCAAACAGAGGCCATATTTTCCAGCTGCACAATCGGAGGTGTATGGTGGCTTTTTTTTTTTCTTTCCTACCCACCGTTTACAGCCAGGGTCCAAATGAGGCCACAGCAAGCAAGGCAGAGCTCTTTGTTGTGAGCAAAACGACACAAGGTGGTCAAGACATCTGTGAAAATGTTGGCTCCCCGGAGGGCTGCGGCAGCGGCTTCTAGAAAGTGGCAGAAAAAAGAGAGGGTGGTGGTGAACAAACGGGGCAGGATGGCAGAGCTTGTGTAATCGGAGCTGTGCTAGAATTCCCAGCCGGCGAGGCCACCGGGCTGGGCGAGAGCACCGTACCGTTGGAGGACATAATCATAAACAAGGAGATGATCATGCAAAGCAGGTCTTCGTGGTCTGGATGGGTCCTCATCGAATTCAGCAGGCAGCTGAGATGGTCCTCCTCAGCCAGTATCTCCACGTTCAAGTTCTGAGTGACAGCTGTCAAAAGCAGAAATTGAGCCCAGAAACCTCTAGGCCCTTTGTTGGGCAGGGGGTTGGACTAGATGACCTCCAAGGTCCCTTCCAACTTTATCATTATTATTATTATTAGAATTAAGGAACAATAAATAATTATTTGGGTGATCACGGAGAACCTGAGGGTTGCTGGTCTTCTCACCTCTCCCGGTGATTCCGAGCAGCAACGAAAATCCAGCCAACAGTGTCTCAAGGGAATCGTTGTGTTTGTTCATGGCACCGATCACCGGATCCACCAGGTGAAGGAACACCTTGACATCAACTGGGGGGGGGGAAGAAGCTGCAGCTGTTCACGTTCGTTTTTCGTGCCTAATTATAACTCTCCTGCATTTTAGCACCAACGGGCGGCTTTATTTCTCTCTTGAACGGGAAATGCTTGGAAATCCAGATTAAAACGGATCATTTGCGAAGGGATTCTGGAAATCAGACTGATAACCACAGGCGATTAGACCAGCAGGCAGCAGCTACAGTCCCAGCACCAGCCTTGTTTTAAAACGTGAATTTCCAGCCTGGCTTTGGACGTTCTTTGGGCAGTACTGTATCAGAAATTAATCTGAGGATGGCTAACCTAGATCTGTTGTCCAATAACACAATAAATCTGCACACATAAAGCTCAGGGTCTGAATTCCTATTTTCCACTCGTTATGGTGATGTTGTTAGGTTGTATGGCTCAGCCATTGAGGCTTCTACACCTTAAATCAGGGTAGGACGACAACTTCAGCAAAATATTGAAATGTGGGAGAAAAAAAAAAGCATCGCAGGGTATAATCTTAGCATTCTCAGCCCACTCAAGTCCAGAACCTGGGTCTTGATCATCAAAGAACCCAATATGTTGAAATATAGATAGTCCTTGACTTACGTCTACAATTAGGGGCCATTGTTAAGCAAAGCGTTTCTTAAATGAGTCACGCTTGATACCTACTGTTTTGCCTTGGTTGCTCAGTTGTTAAATGAATCACACAGTCATTAAGCAGATCCAGCTTCCCCCCCCCACCCATTGAGTTGTTGGGAAGGTCATAAACAGTTGATTACATGACCCTGGGATTCTGCAACTATCATGAATACATGCCAGTTGCCAAGGACCCAAATTTGACCTTGGGGATGCTACAATAGTCATAAATGCGAGGACGAGTTGTAAATCCCCCTTTTTTCCAGTGTCACTGTAACTTTGAACGGTCACCAAATGCATAGTTGCCAATCAAGGACAACCTGGAAGAAGATGAACTTAAAGGAAAGAGTCACGTGGAAAAAAAATACGTACTTTCCCCCTCATTCAACAGGCTGTTGAGACGTTCAATGCCCTTTTCTTGCGCTTCCTCAACTTCTGGGTAAGACATCATGAATTCTGCAGAATTAAAAATAAAAAAGCAACTTCCCGTGGGATCCACCTTACAATTTTTTTTTAACAAAATGTTCTATAGAAGCTCCAGTTTCAATTCTCTTGATGCGTTTGCACAAATGTGCAAGGAAAGATTTTTTTTTCCTGAAATCTTCCTTAATCCTCAGAGGCATCTCACACTTGGTCAAAACAAATATTCAGCCCACGTTCTTTTATTAGAAGTTAACTCCCCTTGATTTTCACAGGACTTATTTCTGATTAAGGATTGAATTCTCGCTTCCATCAAGTTTATCCAGTCACTTGAGATATTTTCCCCCCGTTAATTACTGAATTGTTCTACATAGTATACAGTTATAGCTTCGAAAATAGCCAGAAATGACTTTCTCTGTATTGTGTTCCTTAAGACATGAAAGGGGAAAAAAAACCAGCCCAACATGAAAGTGGTATGTTAAATTACTTAGCCAGCATTACCTAAAATTGTTTGGATCCTATTCGTCTGAATTATATCCAGGAAACCTGGAGGAAGTTTTTTCGCCACCTTTATTAAAGGAGATTTGGCTTCAATGAGGCATTCTCGGATAAGTGGATTTTCAACCAGCTCCCTAAAATGACAGAAAAAAGAGAGAAACAATTTTTGAGGGGCTGCCACAAAGAAGAGGGGGGGTCAACCTCTTCTCCAAAGCACCAAACGACAGGACAAGAAGCAACGGATGGAAACTGATCGAGGAGAGAAGCAACCTGGAACCAAGGAGAAACTTCCTAACATTGAGAACAATCGACCAGTGGAACTCCTTGCCTCCAGAAGTGGTGGGTGCTCCATCACGGGAGGCTTTCAAGAAGAGATTGGAGTGCCATTTGTCTGAAAGGGCATAGGGTCTCCTGCTCGAGCAGGGGGATGGACTAGAAGACCTCCAAGGTCCCTTTCAGCTCTATTCTAATGGGAGAAACTCACTCTGCGGTGGGCCTCACAGAAGGATCAATTTTCAGCATCAGAAAAAGCAGAGAGGACAGCGAAGGTTTCCGTTTCTTCATCTCACTCAAAGCCGCCTCAAGAGCTGTGGCCTCCTTCTTAATGTTGTGCAGTAACAACACGGGCTCTTTCACCTACAAACACACACAACCCAGAGAGATTCTTAACAGGACGCCGAAGAACAGTAATCCATTCATAGTGCAAGCCAGTCTTCTATTTACGACAGATCACCTAGCACTTAGCAATTGTTCACTCTTACAACAGACCTCCCCAGCAAGGTCTTTTGCAACCTGGTTCCGTCGTGGAATGAGTGGCACCCGATTTTATGTCCTTCCCCCCCCCACACGGTTGTTAAGTGAACCACTGCACTCGTTTTAAGTGAATCACGAGTGATTCTGGCTTCCCACACTGACTTGGCTTGTCAGAAGCCAGCTGGGAAGGGCATAAGGTCACATGACCCCTGGACAGTGCAACTGTCCTAAGTACCTGCCAGTTGCCAAGCATCGGGATTTTGATCGCGTGACCGTGGGAACACTACAACAGTCGTAAGTGTGAGGACTTTTTTTCCCCCAGCACCACTGTAGCTTCGAATGAAATGCTTGTAAAGTACGTGGCAGACGTCAGCTTTTTCCCGCGTTTAACAGAGGAACATCTGCTAAATTGGTTTGTGCACCAGTTTTCAAAAGACATTCTCTCTGAACTTGAGATCTGTGCCCAGACATCCTTTCCCAAAGCTGGAATTTGCAGCGCGAGTTTATCATTTAAACATTGATGCTCCCATGTAACACCTCTCCTGCGCCAGCTGCACTGGCTGCCGGTGGCCTTCCGGGTGCGCTTCAAGGTGTTAGTAACAACTTTTAAAGCGCTCCACGGCAATGGACCTAGGTATTTGCAAGACCGCCTCCTACCAAACACCTCCCTTCGGCCAGTCCGCTCCCACAGAGAGGGCCTCCTTAGTGTGCCGTCGGCCAGACAATGCCGGCTGGCGACCCCCAGGGGGAGGGCCTTCTCTGTGGCAGCTCCTGCCCTCTGGAATGACCTGCCCCCCGACCTACGTACAGTTGCGGACCTGCGCCTTTTTCGCCGAGCCCTGAAGGCCCATCTATTCCGTGCGGCCGGCCTGGCGTAGTTTGATTATGTTTTAGTGGGGGGTTTTGTATGGGTGTGTTTTTAGAACAGGCCTGTTATTTAATTTGATTTTAACACAGAAACTATTTATTTATTATCGTGGTTTTTAGTATCGCCTGTTCACCGCCCTGAGTCCCGTAAGGGAGATAGGGCAGTATATAAATTGAATAAATAAATAAATAAATTTAAACATTGACAAATCACGACGCTTTCCATCTTGAAATTGCTTTTATCGCCCTCCCTTGCCGTCACCTCGCAAGACTTTAAAATTTGCAAGCTTTTATTGTGTGCCCTTGCCGGGAACGCCGCCACGTACCTCCGAGAGAGAACAGGCAGTCATGTCCAGCAAAATAGAGCCCAACGACCAAATGTCAGATTTGTCACTGAAAGAAAAATGGAACGCCTCCGGAGCCATCCAGCATTTAGAATCGGGCTCTGCGGGAAAGGAAACCCACCGGGACAATTTTGAAGTTGCCACAAAGAGCAGATTTGAGTTACGACGTTGAGCCCAAAAACTCTGTCGCTAAGAAAAACTGGCTAGAGACAGTCACTTGTCTGAGATGGTGTAGGTTCTCCTGCTTGAATGGGAGGGGGGGCTGGACTAGAAGACCTCCAAGGTCCCCTTCCAGCTCTATTCTATTCAGATGCCTTTCCGTGGTGCGACTTACCTTCTTCAGCCCTGATTTTCCATTTTATCTCATCGGCCATGAGGGTTTCCGAGCTGAAATCACAAAGCATGAAAGACGCTTCCCCAGCAGAAAGGATGTTAGATGGTTTGAGATTCCTGAAATACCGCAGAAGAGGGCCAGATTCAGCCCCCTGCCCCCCCCCAAACAACTTCTTGTAAGGGGATGTTGTAAGTTGATTGACTGCCTACAGTAGTAGCGGGAGAATCAGCCCGTTAGAAGTCCCTGATCCAGATTGGGCTGGGGTAAATATTTGGGTCACTTTATGTACCATTTTACCCCTTAAAACACCACAGCATCGTTTCCCAGTGGGCCAGACCCTCCCCATTTGGAACAGGGGCTGAACCCACCAAGCCACCCTCAAGCCGATGGGGGTCGTGTGCCTTCTGCTAAAAAACAAACAAACAATCAAATCCTTTTCACCGGTGAAAAATTTTGAGCCGATGGAGGTAAACTAAGACATCCACCATCTGACCTAAGAACATCCGAATCGCCTGCGGAGAGAAACAAGAGAGCCGGTTTAGGAAGAAGGGAGAGTTCTTGACTCAACAATTAAAGAGGGTGAGGAAATGAAATTACAATTTCATTTTGACAAATGGTAATTTCAAGTTGACAAAGGCGTGTTTTATGCCCGTCCTGGAATTTCTCAAGCAATGGATCCGTTCTTCCTCCAAAGATTGATGATTGATTAATTGATTGAGGAAAGGATTTTCCCAGCAGGCTTCCAATAAACAAAGTCAGTGGGGGAAGCCGGATTTGTTTAACGACCACACGATTCATTTAACGACCACAATAATTTGCTTATCAACCGTTGCAGAAAAGGCCAGGTGCATCTCCCCTTTAGCCACCATCTGATTCAGCAATGTTAATTCTGCTCCTTCGTAAACCGAGGAGGGCTGCATTTGCAATCTGCAATTTAAAAGAATTTGCTGCAGTGCATTTTCAAGTTTGAGATTGCAATTACTTGGGGTTTACGCCAGTTTGCAACCCTAACCCTCTTCCCACAGATCCAGGTTAACAAAACACACTGGCTTGTGTTCCCCCAACGTGCTTAGCTCAAATAAAGCCACCACGTTATGGCCCGAATATGATCATAGCTAGTTCACCCAACATTCCAAGAAGTAGATTGATTTCTACAAAAAAACCCAACAACAACGAAACCCAAACAGATTTGAAAAAATCAGGACGGTTCTGCCAGCTTTGATTGGACCTTGTTTGGAAACTTCTCGTGTTTTAGCCTCTTAGCTTTGATACGCGAGAACAGATCTTCGTGGTGGGAATGGTGCATCACCAGGCAAAGGAAGAGAGAAGAAATCTGAAAAGAGAAGGGTCAGATGATCAGAATCCAGATCCTGGGCAACTGGCTCCTATTTACGACGTGATCCCCCTTTTGCGGCCTGACAAGCGAAGTCAACGGGGGACGCCTACTTAACATTCCTGTTGCTAACTGCAGGGATTCACTGAACGAGACTGTGGCAAGAACAGTCGTAAAATGGGGTGAAATTCGCTTCCCAGCCACCTTGCTTAGCAACAGAGATTTTGAGTTCAATCGTCGTAACTCAAAGACTAGCTGTATTCAAATCACCCAGTTCTCACACCAATTTTATTTACAGCTATCATAGTGTATATACAATTATTCTATCAATTCCGCTGAGGGCCAAGTCCCCCCAGCTGTTGCCCAGCCCCATTCAATTCTAAAAAAAACCTTGCAGGATGCTTGCAACTTCAGGGATCCCGTTTCTCACCTTGTTGTCCCAGATGATAAAGAATTCCTTGTAGGCACAAATATTCTTATGCTTTAGTTTCAACAGCTCCATCACCTGTAGGAAAAAAATGGCCCATCAGGGAAAAAAAGAGAGTCTTTTTTTTTCTAACTGTGCTTAAGAACGACCTTACAAAGCTAAATTTGAAATCTGTGCCTAGATTGCGCTCAGGTTTTTATGTGGTGCCTAAATTGTTTAGATAATAATTAATAATAAAGTTGGAAGGGACCTTGGAGGTCATCTAGTCCAACCCCCTGTTCAAGCAGGAAACCCTATACCATTTCAGACAACTAAACCACTGTAATAATGTCAGATACTAGTTGGCTTGTCTGAACCAGACAAAGTCAAGTGGGAGAGAATTAAAGGTACACAATGAGTCCTCGACAATTTGTTTAGTGACCGTTCAAAGTTACAAGCACTCTGAAAAAAAGTGACTTATGATCCGTTTTCACACTTAATGACACACATCCCGGCATATGTTTTCCCAGGCACAACAGCCAAAGATCTCACATTATTTCACTGGGTGCAATTTAAATAAGGATGATTACCTCTTTGAGTGCATCATTCGCCTGATTTTCATCAATGCATTCGACCTGCCCAAAAACAGACCCAGTCAAAACATTTTGATTAAAGTTTAAAATATACCACGATTAAAAAAAATGAACAAACCAACACCAACTAAGAAACAAATGTATAAAAATAAATACATTTCCTCTTTTTTGAATACAGGTAGTCCTCAACTTACAACCGTTTATTTAGTGACTGTTTAACGTGATAACGACTCTAAAAAAAGTGACATGACCACTTTTGACACTGAGGAACATTGCAACCCACGGACACATGATCAAAATTCAAACCCTTGGCAATGGACTTGTATTTATGATGGTTGCAGTGTCCCGGGATCATGTGATCCCCTCTTACGACGGTCTGACAAGCAAAGCCAATGGGGGAAACCAGATCCACTTAACGACCGTGTTACTAACTTAACCACCGCAGCGATTCACCTAACCACTGTGGCAAGAAAAGTCATAAAATGAGACAAAATTCGCTTAACGACCATCTCGCATAGCAACAGAAACTTAAGTTGTAAGTCAAGGACTACCTGTAAAAATTTCCTTTTCTCTGCCAAGCTGAGCATTTGGCCAGACACTGACAATATTCGTTCCTGCCAGCGGCTGCTTTTAATTCCAGTTTTATGTTTAAAGAAGCAGAAAGACTTTGGTGAACATTAAACAGAGTGCAGATCAAAGGCTGAACATCCACTTGAAATCCTTCAGAAGAGACCGCAAGGCTAAACCCGCCGATGAAGTCCCGGCTATGGCTAGGCTGATGGACCCTAAACCTGATTTTGTTCCATTTATGAGGGAATCACAAAGCTGATTTTATTCTGAAAAATGCTCCATCTGTGTTGTTTCGACCTGCGAGGTTGGCCTCTGAGAAAATTCACAGGGATGTCTTTTGGGGAACTGCATCCTGTTGCCATGGCGACCTGCGTTTCCGTGCATCCCTCTCACCTTTTTCAACATGTATTTCTTTCTTGCGGTGTCTTTTCCTTTTGCCATGGATTCCACCACCAGCATCGTTCCCAGAGCCCCCGGGGGCAGCTCCTTCACAATCTGCCTCGGAAGCAAACAGATCCGATTTTAATAATATTATACAAGTACTCTATAATGGCCCAGCTCATGCCTTGTGTCCATCTGTCTACCTATCCATCTTTCTATATCTATCTCATCTCTCTCTCAATCTTGATCTGTCTGTCTGTCTGTCTGTCTGTCTTTATCTATCTATCTATCTATCTATCTATCTATCTATCTATCTATCTATCTATCTATCTATCTATCTATCTATCTATCTATCTATGGTACCTACCTACCTACCTACCTACCTACCTACCTATCTACCTATCTATCTATCTATCTATCTATCTATCTATCTATCTATCTATCTATCTAATCTTTTTATCTCATCCAATTACCTGCCCCCTCTATATTTATCTAGCCTGTCTATCTCATCTAATCTCTCTCAATCTTTACATCCATCCATCCATCCATCCATCCATCCATCCATCCATCCATCCATCTATCTATCTATCTATCTATCTATCTATCTATCTATCTATCTATCTATCTATCTCTATTTTGCCTAATCTAATTATGTATGTACAGCTAGACACACACACACACACATGCACGTATGTACATGCATACACACAATCATTGTAATTGGTTTCACACATTACACTAAACCATGGTTTCTTTAACTGTTGCTTAAACTGCCTCCTGGCCTGACCCACCAACCACCCAGCTGTGTGAAGAGGGGGAGATGCTCGCCCACTGCATTGTTTAGTCTGGGTACGGATCAATCAAATCAAACCGAATAGAGCTGGAAGGGACCCTGAAGGTCTTCTAGTCCAACCCCTTGCTCAAGCAGGAGACCCTAGACCATTTCAGACAAGACCCCCTTTTCAGAAACGAGTCTTTTCTCTTTCCTGAAAAAGGGGGGGGGGGTCCAGTGTCCTATTCCCTCTCCCCGCCGCGAGCTTCGCCACCCCAGACCTGGTATTTCTCCATGGCTGAACAATAATGGGGCGGGGGCGTCGGGCGTAAACGGTTCTAGCCCCCTCCCCGCGGAGATCGTTCTTTCCTGCCCCTCCCTGTCTGTTTTCTCTAGCTCTCTCCCCTTTCCGCCCACTCCCCATTCCGTATTCCTTTCCTAAATCAATCAATCGGTCAGAACGTTCCGAGAAAAAAGAACAAAACAGATTTCAACTCGCAAAGAGATTCGCTCCGTGATCTGGCAAAGGCGCAAAGTGCTTTTATTGGGCTCTCTCTCCCCCCCCCCCGCCCAGCCACACACACACCCCAAAATCCCCCCCCCCTGGAAATGCACCAAACAGACAAACTATTTTGACACGGGGGGGTCTTTTCCGTTTGGAAAACTCAAGGGGTCTTTGAGCCTCTGCAGAATTATTTGGAGGGACCGTTTGCAAAGGAAAGGAAAGTGATCCGGAAACGTGAAAAAAAGGCTCTTCTCACTGTTAACAATAATGGAAGGAAGGATTTGCGGATTTAAAAACAAACTCTTGAAATAATCCATGTGGAAGGGATATTGAGTCCAAAATAATAGCCTTAAATACATCAGAAGCAGAATATCGACTTGAAAGTTAAAGATGGGAAATTAAAAGGCATGGATAAAACAAAATATTCATAATTCAGGTTGGTGCACTCTGAGCTTGGTTGTTTTCTTGACACCCAACTGGGTAACATCATCAGTGCTGGCTAGAAAACCACCAAGTTCAAAGAGCACCTAGGACCTCACAAATTATAATTGTGTGAAAGCTAAAGACACAGAGAACAGCTAAATTAATTCTTTGCATCCGTCTTCATTGCAGAAAAATATAGGCACAGTGTACTTCTACCTAAATTAACTTTTTTTTTTCCAGAAAGGGTGTTTTAAGAACAGAAGGAGGGCAAAAGACAATGGTCAGCTTTGTTGACCAATCAAACATTAACCGAGTACAAGTCCAGAGGATAACTTGGGGAAAGTAAACAGGTTAAAATACCACTGAAATGAGAAATTCCCCAATGTCATTTAGACTCGGCATTAAAATGGCACCCAAAGAATTTGCGAAGTTCCTGGAAATTACAGACCAGTTTATTTTAACATCTGTTCCAGGTAAGCAGATGGACACATCATGGAAAACAGATTTCTTAAGCAAGCTACTTACTAGGGGAATATTCTGGTTGGAAGAGAGATGACTTTTGGCAAGGTAAATTGTACCACCCACTTCTTTTTAGTACGTTCATAAGCATATAAATACAGGTCGTTTTGTAGAAACTCTTATGTTTGGACTTTTGGAGACGTTTGAATGATGGATTCACCTGTCACACTGACTAAGCCATAATGTGTTTTTCTTGGCTTGGCACGCCCGTTAAAGCCAACTCTATAGGGAGTCCTCGATTTACGTCCACAATTGAGCCCCAAATTTCCATTGCTAAGCAAGACAGTTGTTAAGTGAGGTTTGCCCAATTTTATGGCTTTTCTTTCCAGTTGGCTGACTGTCTTGATAGGTGGCCCCAAATGCCAAATCCAGCCTAAACATCTGGTTGGCTGACATGAGAGGTGGCTCAAAATGCCAAACTCAGTCCAAATATCTGGCTGGGATGGCTTGACAGGGCAATCAAAATGCCATCTCCAGCCTAAACATCTGGCTGGGATGACTTGACAGGGGGATCAAAATGCCCAAATGCCATCTCCAGCCTAAACATCTGGCTGGGATGACTTGACAGGGGGATCAAAATGCCCAAATGCCATCTCCAGCCTAAACATCTGGCTGGGATGACTTGACAGGGGGATCAAAATGCCCAAATGCCATCTCCAGCCTAAACATCTGGCTGGGATGACTTGACAGCTAGGCCAAAAATGGGAAATCCAGCCCGAACATCTGGCTGGCTGAGTCGACCGGGAGAGGCCCCACAAATGCCCAATCCAGCCGAAACATCTGACCGTGCGAACGTCCTCCATTTGCGCTTTCTCTTCGCTCGGAAATTCGGGAAAAACTCAACCCTCTTTCCTGGCCAAGCGGCCCCGCGCTTTTGCGCACCGGGCGGAGCGCGCGTTTTTACGCGCGGCGCATCTCTCCAGCCCTGGGCGCTGCAGGCGGGGGATCCCCGTCTGGGCGGGACGAGACGAGACGGGGCCGGGCTTCCCTTCCCTGCCCGCCTCCCGTGGGTCTGGCCCTCCGTCCGCCCGCCCTCCCGCCCTCCCTGCCGGCTGCTCGGGCCCTCGCGCGGTTCCTTTAAGGATCGGCCTACGTGGCACAGCCCAGGCAAGGCGAGGCGAGGCGAACGCGGCGGCTCCGCCACTTCCTGGGCAATCGCGGCGGCAGCAGCAGCGCTCCAAGAGCCGGGGGGGGCGGGTGCCTTACAAATCGGCTTTCCCAGCAGATTTTTTCCCCCCCCGCCCCAACGGAAGAGGAAAAACCAGCCATGGGCAGCAACGACTTGATGGGCAACGCCGAGGATTTTGCAGACCAGGTGGGGGTTTGGTTGGGTCGGAGGGGCTCCGGCCAAGTGGTTGGCTGGCTGGCTGGATGGGTGGGGGGCTTTCTGGACCCTTTGGTTTGCAAAGAGGCGAGGGAGGGAAGGGAGGGAAACGTGGGAGATGGGAGGGAGCGTCATATGGGGGGGGGGTTTCCCGCCCCCTCAGTCTCTTCCCGGGCCGTTTTCATCGATCTTTTTGCGTTCCACTTTTTTTTTTTTTTTTTTTTTTTGCCGACGGTCCTGGAATTGAAAGTGCCTGGCTGGCTTTTAAAATTATCCTTTGCAAAAAAATAAATAAACAAACAAGAAATAAACAAATAAAGCAAAAACGGAAGGCAGAAAGGTCTAGAGGTCCATTTGGTGGAGGGGGTGTGGGGAGCAGGGCTCTCCCCCATCAGAGCTGACCCTGCATTTGGGAAGCGGGGTGTGGGGGGTAGCCCAGGCAGTTGCCCCCAGCTCTCTGGAGCTGAATGGGGAGATTTGGCTGAACAAAAGGCCCCCCCTTTTTTAAAAAAGGAAAAAAAAAGGATGGCTTTTCTTCCTTCTGCCACGGGGGAAAAAAGAGGCCCACCCCAGGCTAAGATGGCCAGTGTTAACCATGGTTGCTGAATAAGTTTCGGTTTAGCCTGGCACACAGCCTGGGCTGTAAACCACGGCTTCGGGGCTAGAGATGGTCTAGGGCGGCCCTCGGCAAAAAACGCACACGTTCCTCTACAAAATGGTAGATCCGGCCTAACAGAGCTGGCAGCTGGGGTTTTTTTTGTCTTCCTTGACTGAGGAATTGGAGCCACTTCCCAGAATTTAACCTGGTTTGACGTCGGATCTAGGCTTGTTTGTTTGTCGTGCCTGCTTTTTGGGATGTCCTGGATTATATGTCTCTTCCTTGCTCGCAAGTTAGCCGGTGGGAGCATGATGGGGACAGGTGGTCCTCGCCATACGACCGGAATTTGTGCCCCTAAGCAAGCGGGTTGCTAAGTGACTGGGTGCCGTTGTAACTCTGAACGGTCGCTCAATGAACCACACGCATGCTTGGCTGGATAAGGATTAATCTTAGTTCTTAAAAAAAAAAATCGATCATATTGTGCTGAGTAAGATAAGCTGACAGGACACAAAACAAGGTTTTGAAAACCTTCCTGCTCAGCCTTCTCTGTGAATAAAATGAATGAAAATATCAGCGGCTTCGCTCCAGCGTTTTAGATGGATTGTCGTGGTGCCGCTTGCCCCAACTTTCCAAGGATATGCGTGACTAATTGGTCATGTTGGCTAGTTTGGCGAATTGTGAGTTAGCCCTTCTTTAAACTTCTTTCTGTCCCTGTGTTATTTCTCTCTCTCTCTCTCTCTCTCTCTCTCTCTCTCTCTCTCTCTCTCTCTCTCTCACACACACACACACACACACACACACCCTATGAGCAGGGCAAAAAGCTAGGTCAGGCTGCCTTCTTTTGGCTTGCCTTTTTTTTTCCTTTTTAAATGAGTATTCATCTGCTGTTGAAAAGTAAACACGAACAATGAAAAACATAAAAAAAAAGTCCAGTCAA